AATGGCAACAGATTTAAATTAATACCTGGATTGATTCCTCCTTTTTCAGGAAGCTTGTTTGATATTTGGTGCAGCTGTGGCATGCAGTGGAGGAGCTGTGAAGACACTTGAAGTGCGGGAGGCACCTGCCTTGTTAGGGATTCTCAGTAAAAGCTATCCCTGATCAGGCAGCAAATGGGAACCTGCTCATTTGTTCTGGGAAATTTAAATGTGGCTGAACGTGAGGCCGATTGTATCATCTTGTCGTTAGCTACAGCAACCCGCATACTTCCACCAAGCTGGTCAAATAGCGTGTCTGGAGTTGGGTATGATATTATCATTTTTTAGATTTGGAAACAAAGCTTGGCTCTTCATTTTGGTCTGATTTTGAACTGTAGCTTTTAAAACTAATTTCATCCAAACTTAAATGAGTAGCTGGAGGGGCTACAAAGATCATTACGTTCCTGCCTTTCACAACACTCAGTGGCTGGGAAGGGGAGAAGAGGCATCATAGCTGCTCCAACAGTGCCAAAGGCTGTAGCTTGAACTCATGCTTTAGTAGACGTGTGAGAATACACGAGGGCGACACAGCTGTCCCAGCTGCCAGAGAAACTTCTGAAGCTTGCCTGTTTGCAGACATTCAAATCAGTCGATGCCAGGACATAAATGTACAGCAAATTGGACTTTGCTAGTTCTAGGTCTCATTACTTAATTTTGCTGTGATAGCTCTCAAGTCTTCCGTCACTAAATAAGATGCTTCGTTTATCTTCCTAGCTCCGTTTCTTGGCTGTAACGTAACTTTGCACCAAAATTAAATGATCCAAAATTGTTTAATGACATAAAATAAGGTACTATGATGGTAAATGGTTAAAAAAATCTTTGCATGAAACATTCTTAAATTCTAATACTCGTAAGGCATCTTTCTTAGGTCGCACATTATAACTGTTATTTTAGAGACAGTAATTTTCACTACGTGGAACCCACACTTCTACCAGTTTAAGCTTCTCAAAGTGCAGAGCAGCTGTACTCAGAGAGCTGACAGTCTCAGAGACATACATGTGAGAGTTGTGCCATGAAGTCCACGGGGAAGAAAATTTTCTTTCATTTTCAGTATTTCATTTACTTTATGCATCTGAAAAGATTCTTTTGGTTTCCACCAGCAAAACCTGAAGTTTTCTGATCTTGCTATGTATAAAAACTAACTTGCATTTAATATCCAAGAAGTTGCTGTGAAAAGCATAATGAAAGTAGAAAGTGCAAATGGGTTCGGCTCACTCCCAGCCGCGGTTCATCTCCGAGTTCTGCAGTCAGTAACGTTTGAAAGTGGAAGTGGATGAACCTGCACTTTGCAGGACCTCCTGGCAATGGCAGTTCTGACTTCGGGGGATAAGAAGATGTGGTGTTGATGCTGCCAGCTCTCCTCCTTGGTGCCTCCATGCCTTCTACTGCTGTTTTCTTCCACAAGAGTAGAAGAGTTTCTACTTCAAAATGAGTTTTATTTTTAGTTGGTACGTTTGCTCTTCTTTAAAATAACCAGAAAGGCATTAAATTCCAATTAAAAAGATTTCTTCGGAGTTGAGCTGTGTAGCATCAGCTCTGGAATGCAGCACTCCTACACGGCCGCTTCCTGGACTGTCTGTGCATACATGAAATACACAAAAGCCTCCTTCCTCATTAAAAAAAAAAATAAATAAAACTACTCACTCAAATTCAAGAATAGCCCAAATTTCAGCCAGGATTGTCTTGTGACATTGCTTGGCTGCTGGTCGCGTTTTCACCTGTGTGATGTTTGAGATAGGGTTGTCGGCATCCACCGAGCCCTTTGTAATTCGACCGATCCCAAGAGTCTCGGTAGGAAGCAGCGCTAGTGCAGGGTACAGCTTCTTTTTTTCTTTTTTTTTCCTTTTTTAAGGATTGGGGAGGATAGTTTTTATTGTGAGAATACGGAATTCTAATAAAAATCAATGAGGTGAATGCAAACTGGGGTAGTCGGCGAACAGATGAGCTATGCTCATGTTACTTTGCTTAGAGGCTTTGACTTGAGCTCTTTGAGACTGCAGTTTAGCTTAACGTGACATTATTTTTGCTCATATACATATAAAACAGGAAGTGCATTCAGATAACATCAACAGCCACTTCCTTATATGTACAAAAATAAAGTGCTCTGACAGCAGCAAAACTGACACTTTGATTTTAGAAAGGATAGAAACCTTTGTGCATTTGTCGACCCACATGGGCATTACACGGGACCAATCAGGAGCACAGGGGAAAAAGTTTAAAAACAAGCCCCATGCATTATTGCCTGTACATCTGTGCGTGAGCAGGAGGCGGGAGGAAGCCAGGAGCAGAATTGTCTGCGGAGCTTAAGAAGCAGCAGCGATGTTCATGGAGCAGCTTTATGCAATTCCCCTTGAAGGTAAGATGCGGTTGTTTCAGCGGGCAGCTGCGGCAGATTTTCGCTTTTGGGAATGAAGCGGGTGCTCTTCTGGCTGGGGTCTCTCTCTGCCCATCAGAGGTGAGACAGATACCTTTTCTTTGGCCTTGAAGCAGCTACTCGGCTGTCGTCTTTGGAGTTTGATGATAAAAACAAAGCTTTTTTTTGGATACAGTACTTGTAAAAGGACATTGCCAAGACTCCTTGGGTTCCATGTTGTTTTAAATCATCCTGAAACTTAAAGTGTGAATGTCTCAGTTCCGGATGCTTTTATCACTATTTCACTGTAGTATGTTTTGTAGGACAACTTGCAAGTGGTTTGTTGTAATGCACTCCATGAACGTGAAATACAGCTGCTCAGTATCGTTGTCTTGTGTGCGTACCTCATTTGTACACCGAGGGTTGTTTCTGAGCTCAAGGTTACTAATATAGCCTGTCCTTATGGTGTCTGGAAATAAAACATCTATAACTTAGTCGTGTTTCTGTAATCAGCTGCAAAGCTTCAGTTGACTGGAGTGGAACCGTGATCAGTGCCTACACCTGGCTTTGCAAGCTGGTACAAATAAATAAAAGGCATTTGGTTCCAGTATAGAGCTGCCCACACTTTCATGGCTTCTGACAATGAAAATGGCTCTCAAAATTGGATTTTCCTATAATTTTTGCGATGTCCCTGGTGTACCCTTTCTAACCAGAGCCATCCTGAAAAAGAAGGATCTTGTTTAGCTTCTATAACTGACACCTTCTGTGAGAGCCGTTGCAGTAACAGGTCTCTCCTCTAGCAAAACCCAACCAAAGTTTGCTGTATTAAAAAGGAAAAAAAAAAGGGGGGGAAAAATCAGATGGTAAAGTGAACTTTAAGGGAAAAGGGGGAAATAAACTGGGCAAGATTATGGATAATCCTTCTCCATTAGCCAACGATCAGCTTCTCTTGCATTTTTATACCACACACGCATACCGGTGGGTCCCTCGTGGCTCCCAGGCAGTCAGAATTTTGTTCGACCAGATTAGTTTCAAAGCGAAAAGTAGCTGTATTTGGCAAAATGTCATTTACTGAAAATAGATTAGAAGATTTTAGTAAGGTTAAAATCGGATATCACCATAAAGTCTTCTTAAATAGGACAGTGAAGGAAAATATCTGGAGTAATTGAACTTCTACGCGATGTTCACTGCTAATGGCCCATACTTAGGAAAACAGGAATAAGAAATAAAACACTGTTCTATACCTGAACATTTTGTGCATTATCTTTTAGTATAGCGGAAAACCTCGGGAGTCCAGATGCACAGAGATACCCGTTCACAGTTGGAGGGCATCACCTGCTTTTACTATAAGAGCTTTGCTGTGGCGGTGGCTCTAGGCTTCCTTAATTAACACCCGTGGCCTGATCACGGCACTGCCTTCAGAAAGCGCTTTGCTGCCGCACGCCCATAATAGCTGCCAGAAAATATTTTTTAAAAGAGTTCTGTTTGGGTTATGTCATTTTGTTTCTTCCTGCTAAAGATTTGGTAGAAATATCAGCTTTTCTAAACACAGCCAATTCCTGCTTGTGCTCGTGACTCATGAGGAAGCTGTTTCCCTGAGTATCACATTATGCAATTTACCAAGGAATCTGCAGACACGAAGCCAAAAATGTTGCTTTTTCCTCTATTTAAGTTCACGTGTCTTGTATTTAGGCTAGTATATCATAGTATCCAGATTTTGAGTGAGCTGTAGTTTTTCATAATGGGCTATACAGCCTCCGAGGGCTTATTCTCTAGCAGTCAAGAAGTTGTATTTCCGTTAGACTTCACAGCAAGCACCATATTTTTTTAAGTTGCGTGAGCAACAGTCATTAGGCTGTGGTCACAGGCACTTACACGTGGCTCTGCATTTGGTAGGCATTTTAGACATGTAGAAAAATGGGTTATAAACTTAAAATCTACAGTAGAAGATTTTTTGCATGAATTCCCATGCATGAATTTTCCTCAGCAACTGAAAACCCTAAGGCTTACTGAAGAAATGACAGATCAGTTTTCTGCAGGACACCTTCAGTCTGTGCTTTTACCGAGTGAACTTTTGCAGTCCTCTCCCAGCACGTTAACAAACTCTCAGCTTACGGTCTTGGCCTGACTAAACTGCGCTCAGAGCCTGTTTTACACGCCCGCCTGCTGCTCACCGCCTGCGCTCCCTCGCTGCAGGGCTCGTCCCAGCTCCCCGTCCTCTTCTGCAAGGAGAAAAGGCAGCCAGAAGTTTGCCAGAAGCTGTAGTTACTTACGTGTTATTTGGAGTCGGTGGCATCGTACTGCTGTTTGGTGCATGAACTGGAGAAGCCTTGGGGGACCCTCCTGCCCTGGGTCCCTGACCGATGTGGGGAGGACAGCTGTTTTGGGGTAGTTATTCCCATAAGCACAGGATTTCTAAGGTACTGTATGGCCCCAAAATACTCCCACTGGAACGTAGGGAAATGTGATTTTTAAGTCCCTAATTTGTTTTGCAGAAAACTGAAGAGTGGGCAGCCATTTAATATGACAAGCGTTTTTCAGAAAAAGCCAGTTTTCTCAGGGATTCTCTTCCCCCCAGGCAGGTGCTGTTTGGCCCCCAAAGGTGCCCGTCTGGGAGAGCAGCATCAGCCCCTGCGGCTCTGTCGGGCCCTGCGGGAGCTCAGCCACTGGCATGCAGTAGCTGGGAAGGGTTACGCGGTCCTCTGAGCGGTGGTTGCCCACTCTCAGCGCTGTCCCCGCACCCTCGGGGACATCCACTTGCGCTGGAGGCGCGATGAACTGGAAGGATTCAGCCAAAGAGCTGGAGTCTGAGGGCAAAGAGGAATTGAAAGCTGTTGCATGTGGCTGCAGCTCAGCAGGGCAAGCAGAGGAGCAGTAAAACCACTTCTGTCTCAGTCGTGAGCTTTGCTGTCCTAAAGCTTTCAGATTGCATTCAGCAGGTTTCTCAGGTGCTTCTCTGAGCTAGAGGCTTAGGAAAATCCAGTGCGTGCATGTTTGTTAAGAGTCGCTGAGTATCGATATATTGTTCCATTTAATTCAGACTTTCCAACTATATTGCATTACAATGAAAAATATTTTTGCTGCCAAGCCTGACAGCAGGCTCTGCAGTGAGGGACGGGGCAGGAACACGTCCAAGCGTTTCTCTGCGCTCAGTAGGTCTCTAGCTGACAGGAGATGAATACTAACGGGCTTTGAGGGGCAGCCCACTCTGACCTCAGAGCTTCTTTTTTTCTGGACATGCTCTTGTCCATTGTGATAAAGTCATAAAGTGATAAAGTCTCCTCTCAGTGACAGTCTGGGAGGACATACAGAAGTTGGTTGTACAAGCTTTCACGTGGAGCAGGGAAGGCTTTGCCATGCAGTACCCCCAGAAGAGAGGCTCACGTCCCACCTTCTGTCACCAGTGGTATGTGGGTACACGAAGTGAAGCATGTGCAGCCCTATGTGAGGGCAGGGGCTGCTTTGTGAATGAGCTTTCTCATCTGGGGTTTTTTTTTCCTTCATTACTTCAGCTTCCTGGCTTGCCTTTGAGATTTTTGCAGTTCGTTCTGTCATTCCGTGTCAAACAAAATCTTAATGGCTTTGCCTTTCAGCCTCACATACCGTGTCATGTTCAATTTTTACCCACAAAAACATATGCCGGGTGCCTTTCCTCTCTAGAAGAAAGGTCGTCTGTCACCTGCCAGACGAAGCCATTTCGTCTGAGTTATCAGACTTAGAGGGAGACTTCACCTGTCTCCCTCTAAGCTCTGTGTCGTAGGAGAAAGGGAACACAAACATGAAAATACAAAGATCTCTTCACAAGGAGCCACATGGAGAAGACAAGGGGCAATGGGCACAAGTTGCACCGGGAGATGTTTCATCTTGACACAAGAATTTTTTTTTACTGTAAGAGCAATCATTCACTGGAACGACCTCCCCGGGGATGTGGTGGAGTCCCCATTGTTGGAGGTTTTCAAGATGCGATTGGACAAGGTGCTAGATAATCTCATCTGGTCTGCCTTTCCCACAAAAGGTTGGACTGGACGATCTTTCGAGGTCCCTGCCAAACCTCGGCGTTTCTATGGATCTCTGGAAAGCGGCCGGGGGGCTAGGTGTCTGCATACAGGAGATGGCACCCTTCACTGTCAGGTCATCACAGAGGCTTGGGGGCCAATCTCTGGGAAAGTGCAGCAGGAATTCCTGCTTTGAGAGTGATGGGCTGAAGGGCTCCTGGTCTCCCAGCCCACGGCACTTGTGTGGTTGGCACCTTGGTGCCCGTCCTGCCAGCCGAGGACCCGCTTTGTTCTTCAAAGCAAAATGCACGTTCAGGAGATGTTTGATCTCTCTGTATGTGAACCCATTTCTTAGTAAAGCCTGAATTTCTTGTTTCACCGGCATGATGGGATCCTCCTTTAACCTCTTTACATCTATTTTTTCCTTATGCTCTTTAATCTTAAACTTGTTCTGTATTGAATCAGTACTGGATTTTTTTTGAACTATGATACTGAGGTTGTGTCTTCCACGTCTGCATGCAGAAGAAACCTTGCTAGGATGGGTTGGGTTTTTTTGAAGGCAGAAATCATGATCCTCAGCACTGGCAGTCTGTGACAGCTCAAGGTCTTAGGAATGAAGACTCAGCTCAGTCTCAGGTGTGCCCATTGAAGCTCGGTGTGCTCAAGAACAGCAATAGCGAGTCCGATCACAGGCCTGCGTAGCCTGGTAGTCTGCTCCAGCGTTGATCAACAGCAGTAACCCATGGAGAAGGTGCAAGAAGAGCACAAGAACATGACAAGTGTGGTTTCATGTCATCCAGAAGTCTCCAGCTCTTGTGTTTGAATCTGAACCGTTGTTCTATTCGCTTTAACATGCTATTCAGGATTTTACAGACCCTCATCGTATCACTTGTCAGTTATCTCTTCCAGGCTGAATGGCCCTTATCATTCCGCATTTAAGGGCCATTCCGTCCTTGCTGGACTTTCCTAGATATATTTAGAGCCAATATGAAAATGGCACACAGTCTT